TTATTAAATATAATATTATATTTATTTTATTATATAATTAATAAATATATTTCAAATAAATATTAATAGAATAAATTGAGGATGTATACAATTATTTCCATTAATTAATTTTAACTCATTATTTTAAACACATCAATTTTAAAAAGTTTAAAATATAGAATTAATGTTTATTTTTTTTCAATATAATTTTTTGAATTTAACAAAAAATATAAAATCATTGATAGTACAAAATTCATATAGATAAATGTTTGTCCCATTTTGTTACCTTTTTCCTTTTTATTTTTCATTTCTTTTTCCCCCGTTTTAGGTCTTTTCGTTAGCTTTTATTCGTTTTGTAGTTTATTGTGCGTCTTGTTCTCGTTTGGTCTTCTTGTGTTTTGTTTTTGGTATTTTTCCGGTATTTCTCGTCTTTGGTGTGCAGGATGGAAGGTTCGAGAGAATTTATTTTTTATGATAATTGGACCGGGTGAACACAATTGCATAGATCTATTCGTTGGCAACACGCAGGAAAAAGCAGAATTAAATTCCGAGTCCAGACGAACCCGAACGGGCCCGAGAAACTAAGTCGAGCAAGCTGCCCAAATACCAGCCTCAGGTCACCGCGCCCGCGTACCGCGCCGTGACGACCGTCACGCGTGTACTGAGGCTCACCTATCGAGCGCCGCGCCGCTGGGAACCATCGCGCCGCGGGACCTGCCTTCCTCTATGCCGCGGCACCCATCACGCCTGGACAGAGACAGCGATTCCCAAGACTACCGCGCCGCGACCAAGCCTCACGCCGCGCCACCTTCCAACCCAGCGCCGCTACCTGTCCTCACGTCGCGACAAGAACGCCAAGATTTTCTCCTTCGCGCCGCGGTAGCGCCTTCACGCCGCGGCAGCCACTCCTCTCGCGCCGTGCCCTCTCCTTCCATGCCGTGAACTCTGTCTATTATAAACACATGATCGGGACTGATCGAAGGGGGATCTCTCATTCCAGAAACGACATAACCCTACCCCCTTCGTCTTTTGAACTCGTTTTTCATTATCTTTTCATATTTTTGAACGTAGAACAAGGATTTGAACTTGGATTTTTCTATTTCTTTTGGATTCAAGCTTGTTATTCGAATTCAACTTCGAGATTTATCAATCGTAAGATTCTCTTTTAATTTATTCGTTAAATATGAGTTCTTGGGTTGAGATTTCTTGTGTTGATTATTTGATTATGAATAGCTAAATTCATATGCTAGGGATAGGGGATTGATGTTTTGATATCGTTTGTGATTGTCGGGCTCAAGATTGTTCAATTTCATGCGAGTTGATCTTTTTCTAGGGTTTTTCAATTGTCGGGCTCGAGTATTGAGAATTGTTGAAGGGTGACACTTCAATCCCCAATTCTTTTCAATTGAGTTCGATATATTCTTGCTTGATGTTGGTTATTCTAAACGGATTAGTCGATTAAACACCTTCTAGTCTACTTTAATCGACTCTTAGAACCGAAAGGGGAGGAGTCGGTCGAAATAGGCTCGTATGAACTAGGCTTGTTCATAACTGTATTGCCTAGGAGTTAAATGAATTGTTAATTTGCCGTTCTAGTTTGTTCTCTTGTTACTAAAAAGTTATTGAGAATGAGTGCTTGAACGTGTCGATTAGTCAAATCACTTAAACGAACAATCTCTTGCTTGATAATTGCATTTTCGAACCAAAACGGATATCCCTGACTCCCTAGCTTCTAAAATCCTGATTGTTCTTTGTTGTTGCTTGCTATTTCAATTGCTTAATTTAAATTCTCTTGGTAGTAGATAATTAAATCCAAATCAAACCATCTGAATTAGAATGTTTAGGAATTTTGTTTCTCTTTTGTTTGAATAAAAGTACAAAATATTCCGGCTAACCTTCCTCCAGAGACACGACCCGGTGATCGAATCTTTTGATTCTACTCTGGAAAAATATTGACAACAATAAACATGATATATCACGCATTAAATTGGTTAATATCCTATCATAGTATTTATTTTTTTTTTTCTTTTAAAAGACATACGAGGTTTCTCCATAAATAATGTAATCTCGTTTTAACTGTCATTCATATTGAAATTGTATTCCTTTTAGTGTATTAAAATAATTATAATGTAATTCGTTGCATTTTGGTTCTTATACTACGTAGCGTAAATAGAAATTCGTGTTGCGTAAGCTATTAGAGTATAAAATTTGTTTGTTTGGAATTTCAAAATAATTGCATGTAATAAAATGAGGGAGATNTGTTTACCAAAATGACAGAGTGACTATCATAAAACTCGAAGGGGACAAAGTCCGAAAACAATGTTTAAAATACAAATAGGAAAATCACAAAGACTAAAATGAGAGACGCACCCGAAGGTGGTCTAGAACCTCAACAAGAGGAAACACTAAACAACAAGAGGAATCTCTACCCTTCCACTGCTCAATGCCTAGATGGATATAGAATCCTACAACAAAATCAAAACAACAATACATGAAAACACTGATCTAATCTACAAGGTGAGTAAAAGAGAACTGAAGCCACTCAGAGTGAGCAATCTTGAGTAAGTTAGTCTCTGGCATAAGAGTATCTTGGAAGACCCACAAGTTTCTTGATTTCCAAAGCCACCAAAGGATGTAGGTTGATAATTGTATCCTATCTTCAGTTGCTTTAGAATGATCAAGAGAGCAAATATCATACCACCATTATTTGAAGGAGCCCCTGCTGCCTTTAAAACCATCCCATCTTACAGGAGAAAGGTCCCAAGTTTTGCAAGCTCTTGGACAAGATAAGAGAGTATGTTCAATTGTTTCAGCAGTTTCACCACAAATAGTGCAAATGGCATCAATATCAATTCTTTTCTGTCTCAGATGAACAGTCACAGGTAAAGTTCCGGTTATGCATTTCCATAAGAAATGTTTGATTCTCCCAGCTACTCTTAGCTTCCTGTGTCTGTATTGGATTGATTTTTTGATAAGATGGTGAGAACTGCTTTCTGGGATATCAAACTGCCTCAACTTGAGCTTTGAAAGAGATTTATATGTGCTGGATACTGAGAAATGGCTTTTTCTCTCTAAACCCCAATGAATTCTGTCATCTGTGTCTGGATGAAGATTTGAGATGGTAAGAATTGCAGCACTCTCATTAGAGTTAAAAACTTGCCTCACCAGCAAGTCATTCCAAGAAAGACCAGTTGAATCTATAAGATCATGAACCCATATAAGATGGTCTCTGGCAATAGGAATTAAGGAAGGAGAGTTTGTTAGAAATTTCAAAATAATTGCATGTAATAAAATGAGGGAGATTTTATTTTGGTATGAAACGTTCGAATTTAAATGGTATGAATTTCATTTGCTATGGATAGAAGTGTATTTGAAAATTTTGAAACATAAATAAGTGGTATGAATTTTATTTGGTATGGGTATGAAAGTCGAGTTTTAGGTTGATTTGTTATAAAATTAAGGTGATATGATTATCAAAGTTTAGCATATTTATATAAAAACTTTCCATAAGATATTGATAATAATTTAATAAATTGGTATGTATTCCTCTTAAAATTTAAAACTTTGAATAAATATTTCTTAATAAAATCTATAATTTAATTCTAGAGAATTAGTTGATAAATTTGAACGGGAAGGTAACCGACAACACACCTAAAAATTTGTGAGATTAGTAAAATATAGATTTTAAAATATATAAGGGATTTTAGTGTGTAGTCCAATTTTAGTTTTTAAGTTTAAAAGAAAAATAAGTAATTATTCATAATTTACTGGTCAATATTAACTTGGACGTAATTAAAATAGTCTATTACTTATAGTTTCTCAATTATTAAATTATTTTGATTAGGACAAATAAATTTATTTAATTATTGAAAAATATAAGTTTTAGTATTATACATATTATTCACATAGATTTTTAAATATATGATAAATTTTACCATTTTTTTTTGTGGAACCACATTGTATTATCAAATTGAATTTCTGAATAAAAGTTTTAAAATGACACTTATTTGAAATAAATATAATGCAATTTATAATCAATTATGTACACCGTACGAGTTGTGTACTAATTTTAAATAGACCTATGTTATGTAATTTTGCACAATTTAAATTTTATATAATATTTTGAATAAATTAATATAAGGGGCATATTACATATTTATTTTATATTTTTATTTTATAAATATTAAAAAATAATTAAATTGTGTAGAAAGAGAGAGAGAAAATAATTAAAAAATGTGTAGATGGGGAGAGAAAAAACAATAAAAAAAATAAAAAAGTTGAATTGTTAGTGGGATAATGTAATATTAGATTTTCTTTTTCAATTAATTTAATAGGAGGAATTTAAAAGGAATAGGGGGATAGGCAGTAAAAAGGAAAGAAAATATGAGGGGACTGACAAGGAATTTGATTATGGGTTTGGGAATTTATAAAGAAATCTCCCAAAATTAATTATGAAAAAATAAATATACCACGAGCATATAATTGAAATATAAAATTTTTATACACAATTTAACTTAATCATAAAAAATCAATCAAAATAAGGTCAAATCTAATTTTAAATAATTGCTTTCCTAACAGATTTTAAAACAGAACATTTGTACTATTAGATATTCATAATTGAATATTTTTATATATTATTAATATTATTTATGTGAACTGAATAATATTATATTATTACTTTCACTATTATATGATAGTTTATATTGTTTTAATTTCTTAATACAATAACAATTTTGCCATTCTCCATTAACGGATTATGTACCAGGTTTAGAAAAAGCACCTTAATTATTTTCTAACAAACTACAGTAGTAGAAATAATAGAGCAATGGTAATGGAACTCAGGCAATGACCTGAGCGCGTGACTATAGTCGCAACACCTCTGTCCACAACAAAGGCCCGCCATAGCTGTCTTCACATAAGCGCATTTAATGTTTCTCTGTAAAGCCCACCCCACCCTCATAAGAGCCAACCGGAAAAGGCGGTACCCGCCCAATTCGTGTAAGTACTTTACGAAGAAGACCAAGTTGTACATCGATGTACAACTTGCGTTGGGTTGTCAAACTCTTTGGAATTGCATGCCCAGATTAGGAAGATAACGGATGAGAGATGTAAAAAGCAGAGGGCTAATGAGGAAGATATGAATAAAGAAAAGCCGTGGAAAACATGGAGATGGCATTTCAACTAACACATGCAATTCGAGGTTAAAACAGCGACCGCCATTAATGCAAAGCCCAACCGTATAGTTACTGACAGCATTAATGGAGCACAACCAACAATGACAGCCCAAAAATTCATCTTTACTCGTCTCCACACCGCCAGATGAGTTTTTCCCTTTCCTTTTCATTAATGGTCAAATTGAACCAAATGCGCTGCAGAAACGAAAACAAAAATTGAAGAAAAATAAGAAAAAGAGGTTGATGTGGGGCACGGCGGAGAATTTGTCGGCGCGTTCGGAGTCGTTCAGGGAGGATGGGGATGACGAGGAGGCGCTGCGGTGGGCGGCGCTGGAGCGGCTGCCGACTTACCGCCGCGTGAGGCGGGGAATATTTCGCAACATGGTCGGCGACTCCAAGGAGGTCGACGTGCATAAGCTGCAAGCACAGGAGCAGAAAATCGTTCTGGATCGGCTCATTAACTCGGTTGATGACGACTGGGAGAAATTCTTCTCCCGTGTGAGACGTCGATTTGAGCGGTCAGTGTTCATTTTCAAAGTTTTGATTTTGATTGGATTTTTTAGTTTAGGTTGGTTAAATTTGAAAAAATTAGTATGGTTAGTTGTTAGTGGATATATTAAAATAATATTTAAAATAAAATAATTAAAATTAATTTGATATAAAAGTAGGATATAGATTTTTTAGAGTGGTATGTAGTTAAAATTATGTGAATGAATGAATAAATAAATTAAAATTGATGCAATGTGTAAAGATAAGATGGTTGATTGATATGATTTAATTAATTGATAATATTGAAGATCGTGAGTTAGTTAAAATTTAGTTAGATTTTTTAAGTTAAAATTGGATTTGAGTATGAATATATTTATTTCCACTCACAAAAGTATCCATGTTTTTTTTTTTTCATTTGACAAAGTAAGATCAACCTGCCAGCAAGAATTTGTGATTGTCTAAATATCTTTACTATTAAGTTTTTAACCACATGCTTCATTTTCAAATGTATACTATTTATTTATGTCAAAGGGGAATCTGAAGATGTTTATTTCTACTGTACTCTCTCTCTCCTTGTTCATTTATCAAATTAGTTATTCTACGTTTTCTAATCATTTGCTCAATATAATGTCCTAATTAAATAACTTACCTAACAAGAATATGAGAATATGAGTAGGCTAAATAAATGAATATTAACCTACCTAATTAAAATATGCAACTAATAATAATAATGATGATGACAAAAAGGAAAACAAATAATTATATGAAAGAGATCATGCTTCTCCAAGAATGCCAGAGATAAGCTGTCATTTAAATTCTTTAATGTTTTAGAGGGAGATTGATGTTGGTAATTGCACTGTGCAGCGGGTAACTAATCTATATTGGCATTCATAATCCCCAGTTGGAACTCAAGTCCTAATTTGGTATATTGAGACATTGAATAGTTCTCAAGCTTTTAATTGAGAATAAGACACCCTGAGAACATTTAGGATTACTTCAAAGCCTTTGAACAGCTTCTGTTTAGGATAATTTCAAATGTCTCACTCCCTTCCCATATGGTCAGACGAACTTTCCAGAAACTTCCTTAGTCGGAGTTGTACCTAATTTTTCGGCAGTGTTATAATTTTCACATGTATCAACCTCCATGACATCTTTGCTACTAGCCTAACTTTTTTATACATGTTCTAACCTTTGATAGCCGTTTTGCTTGGTATAGTGAACGCATGTCCTCCTTGGCTGCACTAAAGCTAAAAAAGATTGGGAAAGTTATGCAAGCTACTCCTGTGAATAGTCTTAATTACAATAAAACCCAGTTTATCTTTCATAATCTGAAATTACACCATTTCATATGATTTTGTCGTACAGATTGCACTCTCGATAGGGCTGTTGGTAAGGTAAATACTAAATATAGTAAGGGAATAATTGTATTTCCTGGAGATTAGTGGAGAAATTTGTAATTACACTAACATCATGGGAAATTTTTGTAGCCAATCTTCAACGATTTGAATTGAGCACTATTGATGACATAATATCTTTTGCAAAGCTGCAAAGTCCTATGACTAGTGTCAGAACAAAGGTCACTAGTTCAGATACAAAATAGTTAAATAGAGAAGAATGCTTAAGTAGTGGGAACTCTAGTTTAAGCATAGCAAATAAAGGAAAATTAACTGTGCTAATTAAGCAAAGACTTGGTATAACATAAGTGCTTCTTTCATTTTAAAACAAACTGTTAGGGAAGCCATTGATGTTATGGAGCTTACTTGATTTAGGAGATTCACCAGGATTAGACTAGTGCAAGAAGTCATTAGTGTAAGCAGGTGTATCAATTTAAGCTGATTGAGTTGGGCCAATATCTCCAAGTTGTGCCTCCACTCGTGTAACCCTGTGTATTGGAAATTTTCTGTACTTTTTGTAATGCCTCATCTAATGTCTTCAATGGTGTCCTATCAGCGACGGATACTGATGAGTTCAAGGAAAGCACCACTCATGTAAGAAACAACTGAACAACAAAAGAAAAAGACCAATACAAAGCAAATCATATTATTGCCTCAAGATAGTTATTTCTAGACATATTTACTTTTGTAAGTAATCGAGTACTTCCTCACTCCGTGTTAGGGCTGAGCATGTGACTCGGAGAATTTCGAACCGTCCCGAAAATCGAACCTAAATTACTATGCACCGAAAAATAACCTTTGGCCGTTTGACTTCTTCCGAACCGAAGAATAACTACTTATCGTTTGACTTTCTCCAAACCAAAAAAATAATTGTTACGATTTGGAGATTTCACAAATATCCATACCGAGGACCGAATCGGACCATCTCATACTGAATGGAAGAATCGAAATTAAGAACCGGATTATAATATTAGATGTCTTGTTCATAGATTTTATATCAACTTTAATCCTATACAATTTGAGTATTTTTAAAATAGTACATATAGTAATAACAATTAACCTTCGCTTAAATTTTTTACTTAATAATACTTAACCGAAAATTTATATTTTTTTATTTTGAAAAATATATTTATATTATATTTGTTGATACTTTTCTTAGTCTTATTCCATCTCATAATTAAAATGGTATGAAAAGTTAAAGAAATACTTTTATATTTAAAAAAATATATAGTTATGTTATATTTTGTTTGGATTTCAAATTTCCATTTGAGTTACTGCTATATCTTTTAAAGTTGATTTCGAAATAAATCTTTAATATGGTTAAGTATTGATGAATGTTTGAAATTATTTTATTTCAAAAAAGTCTATAAAAATTTAAATATAATTAGATAGTTTTTCAAAAAATTTGAAAAAAATAATTAGAAATCGCTAGAGCTTCGAACTGAATTGAACCGTTCCGATAGTCCCGAACACCGAATAGAACCGTCCTGATTTTTGATAAGTGTCCGGAGACTGTATTTAAGTGATCACCGAATTTCGTTATGGTTTAGGAGATTTTTCAATCTTCAAACCGTACCATGCCCACCCCTACTTGTTTATCAAATGACGTAATCTCTCAATGCTTGGGCTTGCTAAGCACTAAGCACCCGAGCTCCTCTATTTGATTTATTTTTAGGCTCATGAGCCTGCACCAGAGACTGCACACTATTTGACACATGTATTTGTGGCTGACTTTTGGCTCTCCCGTTAGGTTGTTATTTGATATTGATAACTTTAAAGTCACACTTGACACAATCACATGCTCCCATGTCCTTACATGTTAATATGGTGGTAATGAATTCATATTAGGAACTTGACATCGTGTTACTTATCAGTTTTTTTCTAATGTAATACTAACTAGTGTTGCACCTATCATTAGGCTGTAGAAGTTTCTGATGTGGACAACAACACAATATATTCCCAACAGGTTGGGGTCTGGGGGGTCAGTTGTACGCAGACCTTACCCTTGTAATTATACAAGGAGGCTGTTTCCGTAGCGACCCAAAAGTTTCTGATGTGTATTGGATTATAATTATATGTCATATTTATTCATACAATATAATGGTGTCATAAGTCATTGAATTAATATCAGCATTGAACCAATTCCGGATAAAGAATTTATACAGGAAATGAAATATCCAACTTAGTACATGCAATTAAAAATACAATGTTGTTCTAATAGCAATAGGGAAGCCAGTAATTTGGCATAATTCTTGTGGATGGTTTTCTTTTTAATTTCTATAGAAACTTGTGTATTGAAACTGTTTATAAAATGACTATAAAATGACAGTACTAGTTCTTGAATGAGATCTCTTTCAGATATCTATTTACTTGTTGAACAGAATCATGCAATGTTGACTTTATGGATGCTTTCTTTGTGATTTAATATTGCAGAGTTGATCTGGGTTTCCCAGCTGTTGAAGTCAGATTTCACAATCTAACTGTTGAATCTTCTGTTCACATTGGTAGTAGAGCTTTGCCTACGATTTCAAACTTTATCATCAACATGGCCGAGGTACAGATGAGCTATCCGAAATAATACCAACTATTAACTTTTGATTTTTATTTAGTGTCTGACCTGGATGTTTTAATTTTCCAATTTTAGGCTTTATTCAGGCAGCTAAGGATACACTCAGGAAATAGAAGAAAGCTGACAATTTTAGATGATATAAGTGGGATAATCCGACCAGGAAGGCATGTACTGATTTAACATCCGACACTGGTCAACTTGGTATTAATTTGTTCTTGTATCTTATTATGTGCTTTGTTCATTCTTTAGGTTAACTTTATTATTAGGTCCTCCAAGCTCTGGAAAAACAACACTGCTTTTAGCCCTTGCCGGCCGCCTCAAATCTGATCTTAAGGTAAAGGTTTATTATAAGTTATAACTCATGCTATGCTTTATCAAGCAAACATAGTTAGACGTGATAATTAATAACGTCTAACTTTGATCACTTTTAGGTGTCAGGTAAAATAACGTATAATGGACATGGTCTGAACGAGTTTGTACCCCAGAGGACATCTTCTTATGTTACTCAGGAAGATTGGCATGTAGCTGAGATGACTGTTAGAGAGACACTCGACTTCTCAGCACGTTGTCAAGGCGTTGGTTATAAGTATGGTAAGGTTGATAGAATTTTCTGTTAGCAATACTATAAGGTGGGTTTGGTGCTGACCCTTAAAATTGACAGATATGCTTCTGGAACTTTCAAGAAGAGAGAAGATTTCTGGAATGAAACCTGATGAAGATCTTGATATATTTATGAAGGTACTTGCATGTTTGTGTATAATTGGGTTCTTCACTTTAACTCAACTTTTGATTATGTGCAATATGAAAAATGATCCAATAACCTTCATATAATAATCCTGCCAATATTGATACATCAGATATATAGTACCACACCCTGAACATCTGTAAGCTTTATTGTTATTTGTGCCGCATGCAATTTCATAAAAGTATTGCTTATTGTGTTTGAGTGTTACTAATTATTTAGATCACAATGTGCTTCCAGTTTGAATAATCGCTATATTTGGATCAAATCCAGTGTAAGAGGTCTTCTAGAATCAATTCTATTGTCTAACGAGATCTTGTAAATTGAAAATTAGTTCTGACTAAAGCAAGTGAGATATGCTTCTGAACCAGAGTTTTTCCTTTTTCCTTGATCTTTGTTTAATGGTTGAACCCTTGAGTTCTTGGAGCTCATAGACACCATAGTTTTTTTATGTCTCCCTATCAATGACAGGACGTGGGTCCCAAAACACAACATAAGTTGGAATATGAATTGCGACTAGATATGATTTAGAGTACATTTTAATAATGCAATTTTTAAAAGAAAAATCAATCATGAGTGCACAATTTAGTATAAAATTTACTATTCATCCACTCATATTTCAAACTACCACTCATTGCTTTATTATTTTTACACCATATTAACTTTAATCAATACATATCTATGTTATCATCAATCACCCTTTCGAATTATTCTTTTTCTCCCCAAAGCTTCTTTTCTCTGGTCAAATAAAAAGTTTCCAATATTAACATATCCAATCACACCATATATATTGGTCTTACATGACAAGTGCTTATGTATTACACCCTTTATTAGACCTTATAATATCTATATTTTTATTTTCCCATAAGAAGAAATATTGTTCTACATTTTTCATTAATCTCCTTGAATTTACTTCAACTGAATTTGATAACTGAAAAAGCTTCAACTGGGTATATTTCTAACTGTCCAGGCATTGTCCTTAGAAGGGAAGGAGACAGGCCTTTTGGTGGAATACATTATGAAGGTAATTTTTAGATTTCTGGTAGATCAGCAGCCGCAACAGCGTGCTAGTTTTTATCCGAGCATTCTTATACTGATACTTTCATATTGGCAACATAACGCACAAAGTCTTGATTGTACTTTTGTTAAGCTATGTGCTTTATCCACTTCGAAAGTTTGAGTTTTGTAAGAGCTTCTTTTAGTGTGGTTTCATGTATTAGAAAGATTTACTTATTTGTTCGTGAATTCATAGAGTACTTAATTATCTAAAGCTATAATATACTAATTTCTGAAATGGTCACTGAAACTAGTGTAACTAAGACCGCCAAAAGTTTTATCAAGGTGAATTTATCTAATTTGAACATCTGACAGATTGCCATGAAAGACTTAGAAACAAAGGACGCATAAAGTAAATGGTATCATGATATAATTCCAGAAGTCATCATTAAGACTTTGAGGTGTTCCATGAGAATGATTAATCATTACTTCTCAGAAGAACTTTAAAATGCTAGCAGAATTTAAAGCAAAAAAAAATAATTGACCCCCAGAAAGTGATGAAATTATATATTTTACACGATAAAGGAAAAAGAGTAAAAAGGCAAAGTTATCAGAATATGTTATTCCCCTTACTTTCATAGTAGGTGAACAATCCTGTATGAGAATCATTATCATTGTGGTAATCCATAAATATGAAGTGGGCGAAGACTGAAACTTGAATGTCTCGGTTTTTTTTTTTTTTTTTGTTGTTACCTCAAGGAATTAGTGCTCTCTGATAGCGGTACCTTTTGTTCACAACAATTACATCTGCTACATATAAGCTGTTATACATTCGGACTCACTGATGTCTTGGCGAGACACCATTTGTTAACTTAGTATATTGGTTGTTGTTTGCTAATGGTATTCAATTATGGTTATCATTAATCAGTTTCCACATCGACACACCATTAGTTGTTTTAAAAAGTATATGTCTACTAGTTGTTATGTTAGTTTTAGGTAACAAACATGGGTACATCTTAGGCAGTAAAGCCATCATTCAATTATGTTCATTCTGCTAACAAATAGATTCTAAAGATTTTAGGTTTGGACCTTTGTGCGGATACTCTGGTTGGAGATGAAATGATCAAAGGAATCTCTGGTGGTCAAAAGAAGCGTCTGACAACAGGTACTAGAGATAAAATCATGATTTTGATTGAAAAAACTAGAAGCACAGTCACAAGCTCACTTGACTGCTCTCTTTCGACAGGTGAAATATTAGTGGGTCCATCAAGAGTGTTATTCATGGATGAAATATCAACTGGTCTTGATAGCTCAACAACATACCATATTGTAAAGTATCTTAGGCATTCGACACGTGAACTAGATGGAAGCACTGTCATTTCTCTGCTTCAGCCAGCACCTGAGACTTACGAGTTATTTGATGACATCATCCTTTTGTCTGAGGGAAAAATTGTATACCAGGGACCTCGTACAGCTGTCCCTGAATTCTTTGCTTATATGGGCTTCCGTTGTCCAGAACGGAAAAATGTGGCAGACTTCCTTCAAGAAGTATGTTAAAGATATTGTGCTGCCAATTGTGGTTATTTATTTATTTATTTATTTATTTATTTTTTATGGTTTTCTAATTTGCTGAAGTTGTGTTATGCAGGTTGTATCGAAAAAAGATCAAGAACAGTATTGGGCTTTACCTTATCAGCCTTATCGATACATACCGGTCGCAAAGTTTGCCGAAGCTTTCGGATCATACAACATTGGGAAGAATTTATCTGAAGAACTGGATAAGCCATATGATAAGTGCTACAACCATCCTGCAGCCTTGTCAACTTCACAATATGGGGTCAAGAAGATTTTACTTCTTAAAACCAACTTTCACTGGCAGTTGCTGCTTATGAAACGGAATTTGTTTATATATGTTTTTAAATTTGTTCAGGTACATCATCATCATCATCAAATGCTTTGTTAGTTTAACTGAGAAAGAGTTTAAAGTTTGCAGATGAAAAACCAGGCTGTTTAGATTTTNTCTCACTAATGAATGCACTGAATGTGATCTTTTGTAGCTTCTTCTGGTTGCGCTGATCACCATGAGTGTGTTTTGCCGGTCTACTCTTGGTCATAATACAATCGATGATGGAGGTTTTTATTTGGGAGAGTTGTACTTTTCAATGGTGATTATTCTTTTCAATGGCTTCACTGAGGTTTCAATGCTCGTGGCCAAGCTTCCCGTACTTTACAAACACAGGGATTTGAAATTGTACCCTAGTTGGGCATATACCATACCTTCATGGTTTTTGAGCATTCCAACATCATTGATAGAGTCTGGTTTTTGGGTGGCAGTAACATATTATGTGGTTGGATTTGATCCAAATATCTTCAGGTGAATAGATTTTTCGAAGATTTGCAATGATGATATTAATGATGAGTAAACAAACAATATGCATTAATATTTTTAACCTTGCAGGTTTCTTCGGCAACTTGTGCTTTACTTCTTTCTTCATCAAATGTCTCTATCCCTTTTCCGACTTATGGGTTCCTTGGGTCGTAACATGATCGTGGCAAATACGTTTGGATCATTTGCTATGTTGATAGTCATGGCTCTTGGAGGATACATCATTTCAAGAGGTAAACTTTTTTCTCCATGGCCTTTTAGTGCAATTATCATTTCTAAACTCTCCGAGAAATCTGCTGAACTCTCTTCAATGGCTTTGACAGATAGGATTCCTAGTTGGTGGATGTGGGGATTTTGGGTTTCTCCACTAATGTATGCTCAAGATGCTGCTTCTGTGAATGAATTCCTTGGGCATTCTTGGGACAAGGTATATCTTCGATTATTGACTTCAGAACTTTGACAACTAATTTGGTTAGTCTTGTGAGGGATCTCAAAGACTCATCATAAATGACAAAATATTAAATTCAATTGTTTGTCAGTAGTTCCTATCAAGCAGGTGATTGAATGCCAGAGAAATAGCTAGGCTGAAAAAGTATTAAATACCATATGGTTGGAAGTATCTCTTTGAGGAGCTGCTTGATAATTGTTAAATTGCATAAAGAAAGAAGTCTGCTCTGCCCAATGTAATGTATCTAATTTGACTGAATTCAACTGCAATAAAATAAAAATACTGCTCATCTTTCAGACATCCGAGGGTGAATTCACATCATTTAAACAGTGGAGTTATTAATGAAGATTATTTTTTTCAGTTTCTTCTGAATATTGACAGACACTACTCAGAAATAGCATGTCACTTCTAAAGCCTTACAAATGAAATAATCCTGTCTGTGCTGTAGTAGGCCTAAAATACAGCTTCATTTGTGTTTTCGTGCATAAAATTGCTTGTCTGCTGACAATATTTCATTTAACTTACTGGGTTCATCTAGAAACGGCTGTTTTGTGACAGGATTTATATAAACTAGTTTTACCCCGTGCATTTGCATGAAAAGTGAGAAAGTAATTAAAAATATAGAATAAAATAAAAATCATAACTTAATAGATGAGAAAAAATAATTTCAAAAAAGTGAATCTGAATATTATTAAACATTTCTTTATATACAACATTCGTGGTTTTCCTATCGTCAGAATCCTCATCATAACAAATTATTATCGTTAAATCCCTTCACGTCGTGACTCTGGATTTGATTTTTTAAAATATTTGACGTATCTTTGTAATATCCGAAAAAATATTTTTTTATTATTGTATGACTGCAATAGAAAGTAGAGAATTTGTAGTCATTTTTAATTATTTGTGAAATATGTATATATATAATACTAAAAGATATATAGTATCAAAATAAAAACAAAAATATTTTATATTTCAGGACATAAAAACGCTTTACAAAAATGGGCACATTCCACAATGAGAACTGTCAAATAAATAATGTAACTGAAAGTTACATATTTTTATTAAATGCACACATGTATTTATTAAATGAACTCATATAATCATATTATTATTAATTGCTGGCTGAATAAAATTTATTAAACCTTGCCAGCAATTATATATATAGATGATTTAACATCATGAACTCAATCTACATTCTACCTTTATTGCTCTCGTGCTATTTATGGCTTGTTATAAGGTTAGTTACAGTCAGATAAAGGCTGTGTGAAGATTCAATGGTAAAATTAAGAAAAGGAAAATGGTGATAAACCCTCTCTGTTCTTGTGAGTGAGGAGAATTGTCCTTGGACTTGGAAAAATAATGCATCTTAGTTAGCAAAGCATCTTCTTTTGGCTTCCTGGAATTTGATGCGGAATGCAGAACAGTTTATTGAAGAACCTGAACAGCTTAAGTTGAACACGACGTTAGAAAGTTTAGTTTGGAAGCAACCGTAGGCTTATTGTAACTTTTCCAATTAAACAAAGAATTTATTTTCTTATTTCTGGGTATGTACCTTCTCTTTCTACATGTTGGGTCTTAAAACTTGAATTTTACATTTATTTTAAAATTTAAAACTGATTCGTCGAATCTTCTATTGAGCTACGCGTTTGTTAGACTACACAGACAAAAATTACTAATGTTACACTTTCTGTGAGTGCAGAGAAGTGGGATCAACTCAACTTTGTCATTAGGAAAAGCATTGCTAAACAGTCGCAGTTTGTTCACCGAAAGTTACTGGTACTGGATTGGCATTGGTGCTTTGATTGGTTACACCATCTTGTTCAATATCCTTTTCACATTGTCTCTCTCGAAGTTGAACCGTGAGCTCCTCCTCTTTTACTCCCAAATTTTTGCAGTTATTATGGAAACTAAATTTCCTTTTACTGTTTCAAATCATGAAGCTCTTGGGAAACGTCAAGCAGTTGTTTCTAAAGAAGAGCTTCAAGAAAAGGAGAAGATGCGGAAAGGAGAATCATCTGTAATCCAGCTAAGGGACTTTTTACAGCACTCGGGTTCATTTGCAAGTAAGAATTCTCAACTTATATATACATACATTGCCACACTCAGACTAATAAGCTTTCTGCTATTTACTCACCACATTAAATATATTACTATTTTTGTCAAATCAGAAAAGAGTTTTAAACAAAAAGGCATGGCACTCCCTTTTCAGCCACTCTCCATGTCATTCAGCAATGTCTGTTACTATGTAGATGTGCCCCTGGTGAGTACACCCTTCATTAAGTTAAAATAATTAATAATTTACTCCGTCTGTATATTTACTCTCTTACCCTTATTATGGGCATATGATTTTCAGGAGCTAAGGCAGCAAGGCATATCAGAGGAAAAACTGCAGTTGTTGAATAACATTACAGGAGCATTTAGGCCTGGCGTGCTCACTGCATTAGTTGGAGTTAGTGGCGCTGGGAAAACCACTCTCATGGATGTATTAGCTGGCAGAAAGACTGGTGGACTCATACAAGGAGACATAAAAATATCCGGTTATCCTAAAAAACAAGACACCTTTGCCAGAATATCAGGATACTGCGAACAAAATGATATTCATTCCCCATGCTTGACGCTTCATGAATCACTTCTCTTCTCTGCTTGGCTCCGCCTATCATCGGATATTGACTTGGAAACCCAAAAGGTACAATCGATATTTTTTTTCTGTTTATAGGTTTTATCGCTCACTCTCTTAACAGCTAATAGCTTTGGTAATTTTAATTCTCAGGCCTTTGTTGATGAGGTGATGGAACTTGTGGAGCTTATTCCTTTGAAAGGAGCATTGGTTGGTCTACCAGGAGTTGATGGACTATCAACAGAGCAAAGAAAACGCTTAACTATTGCTGTTGAACTTGTGGCAAATCCTTCCATAGTATTTATGGATGAGCCCACATCAGGGTTGGATGCTAGATCTGCAGCTATAGTCATGAGGACTGTGAGGAATATAGTGAATACTGGAAGGACAATTGTTTGCACCATTCATCAACCTAGCATCGACATCTTTGAATCCTTTGACGAGGTCTTATTTGTGTTCTTTCAGAAATTCTGATTTAGTAATCTTTTATTATCTCTGACATTTCATTGATAATATTTTACTGATAATCTATTGATCTTATTATATGCAGCTTTTATTGATGAAACGAGGAGGGGAGCTCATTTATGCTGGTCCACTTGGAACCAAGTCTAGCAAACTGATAGAGTATTTTGAGGTTTGCCATATACTATATATATATATATATATATATATATATATATATAATTAAAAAAATTCTATTTAGGTGAACTGTCAACGTTGTAATTTTGGTCAATGGAATTGTTATGTGTTCCGCTATTTAGGGAATTGAAGGAGTACCAAAGATCAAGCCTGGGTATAATCCTGCTACATGGATGTTAGAGATTACATCATCAGCAGAGGAGCACCGCCTGAATGTTGATTTTGCTGAAATTTACAGAAAATCTAATCTATTTCAGTATGTCCAAACAGTTCGGTTTTCTGAGCTTCATTTTTTTTCTTGTCTGTAATTTATATTATTCTTGTGAATTATATGTTTCTTTATTTTTCAGGTTTAATAATCAGTTGGTTGAGAGATTAAGCAAACCAGCCGCTGATTCGAAGGATATTAAGTTTCCTACAAAGTATACTCGGTCATATTTCGAACAATTTGTGGCTTGTCTTTGGAAACAGAACCTATCTTACTGGCGAAATCCACAATACACTGCAGTTCGGTTCTTCTATACAGTGATAATATCGCTGATGCTGGGAACAATATGCTGGGAATTTGGTTCCAAAAGGTTTGCACTATATATATAAAATTAATCCAATCATAGAAACTCCTTGTTGTTTTTTTTTTAATTGAAGAACTTGAATATTTAATGCCACGAGTACTTCTATTTTTAGGGATTTCCTATCTTTTATATGCTGTTTTGATTTTCTGCTTGTAGGGAGACTCAGCAGGACATTTTCAATGCTATGGGATCAATGTATGTTGCTGTACTGTTCATTGGAGTTACAAATGGTACTGCTGTTCAACCAGTTGTTTCTGTCGAAAGGTTTGTTTCATACAGAGAAAGAGCAGCTGGAACATATTCGGCTTTGCCATTCGCATTTGCTCAGGTGTTGCTTTCGCTACTCATCACTTTATAATTATTTACTCTTTCTGAATCCGTTCTGTGTGATGCAATCACATGTCTTGTCTTATTTATGCAGGTTGCCATTGAGTTTCCATATGTATTCACACAGTCAATAATTTACTCGGCAATATTTTACTCAATGGCCTCCTTTGAGTGGACTGCCTCTAAATTTTTGTGGTACATGTTTTTTATGTACTTCACTATGCTGTATTTCACCTTTTACGGGATGATGACGACAGCTGTTACACCCAACCATAATGTGGCTGCCATTATCGGCGCCCCTTTTTACATGCTTTGGAATCTCTTTAGCGGATTCATGATACCTCACAAGGTAAAGTAATATTTTTACTTAGAAAGTTTAGTTTACGAGAATTATGTAATCGGTGTAAATAGTTTGCTATAAAAGTGCGACTTTTGACTTTAAAATTATAAATGTTTGATTAAAAGTATGAACATGCAAAATTTATGTGAGACCATCTCATAATAGATTTAAGCATTAAAACAAGGCAAAATTGTAATTTCAGTCCTGTTGGGTTTGGATCCAGTGACCTTTTTAGTCCTAAGAATTGAACATTTTTGCTATTTGGTCCTGTGATTTTAAATTTCAATCATTTTCAGTCATTTGGGACTGAAAATGCAACAAAATATAAAATTACAGGATTTAAATTGCTAATAAATAATCTTTTGAATGGATTTTTTATTACCAATTTGAGTCCTATAAAAGTGCGACTTTTAAAGTAATATTTTTACTTAGAAAGTTTAGTTTACGAGAATTATGTAATCGGTGTAAATAGTTTGCTATAAAAGTGCGACTTTTGACTTTAAAATTATAAATGTTTGATTAAAAGTATGAACATGCAAAATTTATGTGAGACCATCTCATAATAGATTAAGCATTAAAACAAGGCAACATTGTAATTTTAGTCCTGTTGGTTTGATCCAGCGGCCTTTTTAGTCCTAAGAATTGAACATTTTTGCTATTTGGTCCTATGATTTTAAATTTCAATGCATTTTAATGCAACAAAATATAAAATTACAAGACTTAAATTGCTAATAAATAATCTTTTGAATGGATTTTTTATTACCAATATTAAATTTTGTTGCAAAATACTAAATTACAGGATCAAAAGACAAAAAATTGAAATCTTAGGACTAAAAATGCAACCATGAAACCAGCAGGACTAAAAATGCAATTTTGCCTTAAAACAATAATCATGTTTAACAGACATGAGTCAAATGATTTTTCTTTTCTTGTTGTGTAGAGAATACCGATATGGTGGAGATGGTATTATTGGGCAAATCCCGTTGCATGGAGTCTCTACGGCCTTGTTGCTTGTCAATATGCTGACAGTGAAAAACCCGTGAAACTTTCGGATGGATTCCATGTGTTGTCCACGAGGCTTTTAGTGAAGAATGTTTTTGGCTTCAGGCATGATTTCATTGGCATTTCCGGGTTTATGGTGGTTGGGTTTTGTTTCTTATTCGCTCTCATTTTTGCTTTCGCTATAAAATCTTTCAACTTCCAGAGGAGATGAGTCTAGACGCGGTTAATTAGATCTCATCACATGGAAACTGTAAATTTTTGTAATCAGGACAGAGTCAATTCGTTTGCTTTGCCGATAAAATTTTATATTGATTTTTCGCGTGCCTTTTATTTTTTAGATGAACGATTTATAACTAAACTGTTAAAAGATCAATGTTGAGGCAAAGGTGGTCTCAGGTGAATCTGGCTCTAAGATGAATGCATCCTGTAGAGTGCTTTTGTTACTGATGTATAATGTATTGCCCTGGAGGAAAAATGAACAATAAAGAGTGTGTTTTGTAAGATCGTTGAATAGATTAAAGATAACCAATTGAAGAAGACTTAAAGAGCAAGGAATAACATCACGAGATGAACACATTTTGTGTTCCTTTCTTTTTGTTCATTTTTCATGTCATATATATGAGTCGCTTGCTTTATTCTTTTCCCATTTTCATTTTTTCTCAGTTATTGTGACTGCCTATGCTTGTATGAGTGTATGTGTGTTGGACGAGGAAGAAAGAGATTAAGTTTACAAGAAAAGAAAAAAAGAGAGTAAAAGAAGAAGAAGAAGATTCACAAAGAAACCATACACATACAAAGATATGACAAGATAGGACATTCTTAGGAAGCAAAACAAAATACCCTTAATCAATGTATAATTTTAGTTTTTTTATTAGCCATTAGATCGAATAAGCAAACCAAAATATCCTTAATGAATGTATAATTTTAATTTTGTTTATTAGTCATTAGATCGAATGATCTAATGACTACAATTAAAGATGAGTTACTTTTATATCTCTATCTATTAATATATAATAGAGATATGGATTTATCTTAAATATAATGAAAATTCCCGCTTAAAATTTTCAGAGTTTCTATAGTAAAATGGCGGCTACTTTCAAAATTCGAATTGAAATTCAAAATGTCTGTTATTTGACAAATATATTCTGTTAAACTTAATTTCTAAAAATCATGGCAATTATTTCTTTAAATTGGAGATCTGATTTTAAGTAATTTTTTGCAATATATTCAAAATCACTTTCATATCCAATAGATATCCTTTTTATTATACACGAAATTTACTTACAAAACTCTAAACCAGTTATTGCATAACATGAACCAAAACTAAACTATAATTTTTATACAATATCAAAGAATTTGTATAGATATTTTTGATTTTTTTAACATAAAAATAAGCTAAATTAATTCACACAATTAGTGGTCTATCATTGTTTTCTGGATCGTGTAGTTCTTTGATATGACCTTCAAAATCAGAAAAATGTATTATCACTAAGAAATCGAAATAAAATATAAGGATTCTATTTTGTAAAAGATTTGTCATTCAAATTTTATAATATAAAAACAATCCTAAAATATGAGGATTCTATATAGTTTAAGAATCCAATCTCCTTATATAAGGACATAATTAATCAAACACGTTTTATATCATAAATGTAGCATTCAATATATATCTTAAAAAATATATTTTTATATTATTTAGAAAGAATCCTACATTTTAAGAATTATTTAAATTAAATTGAGGATTATATATAGATTAAGAATCCAATCTCCTTAGAATTATTTAAATTACCATGATGATTGTATATATTTACAAATCCAATATCCTTATAATAATAACTTAATTAAACAAACACACGATTTATTTCAGAAAATTTAAATTGAATATATACAAACACACGACTTCAAAAAATTAATATATTTTTGAAAGTATTAAATCAGTCATCAAACTTTAATATATTGTCGAATATTAGTCGAATTTAATTTTCTAATCTAAATTGTGATTAATATTTAGATTTGTTATTTATTCTAATAGATTTGAAAATACCATTCCAGTGCTCATAAAAATCATCTACCAATTTTCTTCCCTTTGTACAAATAACTACTATGGAAAAAATATGTTATAATATCGTTTAGATTTTTAAAAATTCCAACAGTATTTTCAGTTATAAAATTGCACAAAAAAAAATGCGCCATTTATATTCTAAAATAAATAATATATGTTAGATAGGATATTTCAACGTGTTGTTGGATCGTCCTTTTTATAAATCAATACTATAAGAATAATCTATTAGATTTTATAAAATCCCAACAGTATTTTCAATAATATAATTGCACAAACAAAATAGAAAATTTAAATCTATACTAAATAAATATATGACTGATTACAGCTTTCAAAAATGAACCAGTTTCAGTAATTCATGTATAAAATATCGTCTATTTGATTAAAAATATATACGTGTTTGACCCATTTTTTAAAATATAAATAAACAATGAGTCAATTATTTAATTGTAACAATATTTTTTAATATTTTAAGCATAATGCTATATTAATAGCAGAACATGCTATTTGGAGCCGAAATATATTTTACCTATAGTATATTTTCTACATATAGTCAATTAATTAATTTATACCCTACACCATGATTTTTACCAAAACCATTCTGCTCATAAATCATAAATGGTTAATTGATTTGAAGTAAATCAACCGCAATATTTTGAGTTAATATCATCTATCATAAAATTCAATACTCTAATTAAAATATCTCTATTACAAAATTCGCCGATCATACGATCTAATTACTAATCTTATTTTTAGGCTTAATATATTTAACAATGTCATAGAATCATATATATATGATTTTTTTAATTATTATGAGATGGAACAAATACTAAAAATGAATCGAATGCATATATGACACAATATTAATTTTGAATTTCTTTAAATATTTTTAAATTAATTACATAACTAAATAATATTAATGTATATTAAACATTTATCATTATATAAATATATAAAGAATACTACTTTTATAAGTGTTATGAACAATAACAATAATAATGACACTATACGACAATAAATTTTTAAAAAAATAATAGTTGAGTATTATGATGAACAAAAATAAGTAAAATTAGTATTTTGTGTATATCAAAAAATAAATATAGATGTTAAAATATTATTTATTAATATAAACGGTTAGCAAGCTAATATATTGTTAAAATAAAATTTCATAAAAAGTTTTAGGAAACAAGTCCGTCGTACATCGCACGGGATACTCACTAATATATATATAAAAAGATTTGTCATTCACTCAATATAGTAGCTATAATTGCATCCTAATTTTGTGATTTACTATATATAATAAGTTTGCTCCAAATATTTTATATATTCTTTTTTTCNACTCTAATTTTTTTTAAATGGCTATGTTTTTTTTTGAAGCGATAGAGGTATTATATTAACAAAATCGAAAAACATCAAAAAATTGAATAATACAACCAAGGGCTGAAAAGACTGGGAGGCAGATCCGAAGATCACCCAGAGCCTGCTAGCAACGCTAGAAAGACAAACTCGCAACTACTCGAACAACTAACACAAAACAAAATTAGACAACTAAAAAGATCCCAACAGGATAATGCCCGAGTATGAGATCTAATAAGATAATAAGTTTACACTCGGGGGCTCACAGAGACTAAATGGCCAAACCAAAAACAAAAGAACAACACAATGAGAAAAAAACTAAGACAAAGGATCCTAATTTATCAACAAACAAAGCTCTTCCCAAGTGAATTAACCAATACCAGCACAAGGCACCAGCGAACTAAAGACAAACCATCCTACAGCTTGACCCGGAATCCAGAACGCCACTCTCGCCACTGCCTAATGCCTAGCAAAGGACGAGTCCCGAACCTCAAACCACTCAAAGGATGATGTCGACCCACAGTCAGAGGGTGGTCGACCAACCCCCCACACACTAGTATGCCCAAAATCCAGCCAACACCACTGGCCTAGAACCGAGCGTACCGGACGTCCAACTCCACAACACCAGCCGAATGGACACAGGGGGCTCGAATCAACCCACCTTAGCCCCGGCCGACTCGACTCAGATGAGCCGAGCAGCCGGGGACTCACTCAAACCCGACCACTCCCCTCCTTGAAGCAACCCGCCGCGAACCAGATGCAAATAGGACGAGCTCCCACCTGTGACCGAGCGGAGATGAAACCAGCCAACGGCCAACCATCATCAACGCAACTCGGAGGACCTGAAGGTGAGACCACCACCGGCAACCTGGAGGCGGCGAATCCATCTGATGGCGAAGGAGAATCACCATCAGCGCAGAAGCACTGGGGAGCGAGAAATTGGGGCAAGGTGACGAAGCTAAAGTCCATCCTTCGGTGAATGGACCGGCTAGTCGCCGGGGAAGGCACGATTCAGGCGCAAATCGGACGGACGATGATGTAGGGTTTGAGAGAATTGGGGGAGCGACAACTTTTTTTATCTATTAAACGGCAGGAATCCATCTAAGTACATTACCCTCATCAAGGATATGTACAAGGATGCGATGACGTGTGTCCGAACATGTGGGGGCGACACCAGCGACTTCCCAATTAAAATAGGACTACACCAGGGGTCAGCATTGAGCCCTTATCTATTTGCCTTAGTGATGGATGAGGTCACAAGGGACATACAAGGTGATATCCCTTGGTGTATGCTCTTTGCTGATGATGTGGTGCTAGTTGACGAGAGTAGAGCAGAGGTAAATAGGAAGTTGGAGCTGTGGAAGGACGCGTTAGAGTCGAAAGGCTTCAAACTTAGTAGGACGAAAACCGAGTACATGACGTGCGCTTTCAGCATGGCTTCACATGATGATGGTGACGTTACCCTTGACGGGCAAGTGGTGGCCAAGAAGGAGACTTTTCGGTATTTGGGATCGATGCTACAAAAGGATGGCGGCATTGATGCTGATGTTAAGCATAGAATTGCAGCCGGTTGGTTGAAATGGCATCAGGCGTCGGGCGTTCTCTGTGATAAGAGGGTGCCACAAAGGCTAAAAGGTAAGTTCTATAGGACGGCGATTCGCCCGGTGTTGCTATACGGTGCTGAATGTTGGCCTACAAAAAGGCAACATGTTTAACAACTAAGTGTAGCAGAGATGCGTATGTTGCGTTGTTTCTGTGGGTCCACAAGAAGGGATAGAATCCGGAATGAGGATATTCGAGATAGGGTCGGGGTGGCCCCAATTGAGGAGAAATTGGTTCAACATCGGCTGAGGTGGTTCGGACATGTCCAACGGAGGCCTCCTGATGCACCGGTGCGTAGGGGAGTTCTACAGCGGGTCGAGGATGTTAAGAGAGGTAGAGGTCGGCCTAAACTCACTTGGGAAGAGTCGGTTAAGAGAGACCTTAAAGATTGGAATATCTCCAAGGATTTAGCAGTGGATAGGAGCGCTTGGAGGCTCGCTATCAATGTGCCAGAACCGTGACTTTTGCTCCTTTCTCTCTCTCTCTCTCTCT